CTCAATGGTAAATAAATGGCAGCGGTTTTGCATACTTTCCCAAGAAAGTATAAAAGGCCTGCTGTTCTCTGGGATGTCAACTTCCTTGGATTAGCCTGTTGCAGTACAAGTAATGAACAGATGTGCCATTCATATATGTTGTGTATAAGAACAAACTGAGGATAGGCTGTATTTTATTCTGCTTACTACCTCATTAAGTAGTGCCAGTCATATTCAAAAGAAGAGTACTTGAGCCAGATTCTTTGACAGGGGTGTCTTACTGAGCCTGGTTAGTAAAATATGAATAAAATATGAACTCCCTAAAGTGATATAAACACTGGGAGAGAAAACCTAGCTGTGGAGGCAGGAATTCATTGCTACATTGGTACCTAAGAATCTTCAGCACTGTAATCCGCTGAGAACGGGGAGGGGGAGGGAAGGAAACACATGTTCTGAACCATGTTTCATCACATCTGAAATGATAGAGTAACCACAGTGTTTTCACTTGATTATCCTGCGTGCCCACTGCTGCAACATTTCATTTGTTTGGAAAGGAGTTCCTGATCTTCTGGGAAGTTGGCTGAGTTGCCTTGAGAGGCTAATAGAAATAATAGTGAAACAAGCATAGGAAGGAGCAGAAGAGTAAAAAGAGAAGACTAAAAGGGAAATAGAATAATTTGTGGTCTAGAAGTGCAATAAGTACTGAGCTGTAGTGCAGTTTTATTCGCTGCACAGAACTCTTGATTACAGCAGGAAGATTAGTGTTGGACTGAGGCCAGACTCTGCCAGTGTGAATTGCAGCAATTGGGGGTAGCATATATTAATATTGGGCATAGCAACATAAGTTAGGCTTTTTAAATCTCATGTTCCCTTTGCATGAAAATGTATTAAATTGTTGTGTATTTTTTCTGGCACTGTATACATTGATAAGCAATAATGATGCCTATTTTTCCTCTCCTCTGTTTTCTCTGTAAAACAGAACAAATCTGTATGATTGCATACCTTACACATCCTTTGCTGTGCTGCAACGTTCTTAATACAGTACTATCGAAGATAATGACATGTATGTATTCTCTCTTTGTTCCACCAATAGTAGTATCCCTTATGAATATGAAGAGGCAGAGGGAATGTAATAACTTTTAAATAAAAATTGCTCTTTGAATACTATGAGAATACAAAGCTGAATGAAATGAGTCACAGTATTCATCTGTAAATACTTAAAGCTCGTTTTTTGCTTTTAAATCAGTTAAAAATTGGATCAAATAAGACCTCTGAGTTAGATTGAATTGCATGTAGTTACGTGATCCCTATCACATTAGAATGGATTTAAAAAAAGGTACAAAAAGGCTATTCTGCTTCTCCCATTATCAGTGTTACATGTGTATTATGTGTGTATCCCCTCATACATCACAGTTTATTTATCTTTGCTCAAGAATATGCTTTAGCTATTAAAAAAGAAAAGAATAACAATGATCAAAAAGGCATACCAAAGTGACTGGTCTGTTTCAACTTGTCTTTATACTCAGGTATCCACTGAATTTTTCAGTTTAACAGGTGCCTAAGACAATGACAAGAAAATGCATCTGAAACTTTGGAAGAAAGGCAAAAACTAGATAAGCAATTTTTTTTGGTCTGAAGCCTTTGAAACATCTCAAAAAGAAATAAAAAAAGTGTTCAGGTCCTACTGATAAAACGCAGCGCAACACCTCTTAGAGAATGAAGTGACTGAATTCTGGAAAATGCCCCTAGAATTAAATTTTACTGAAGTAGGAATAAGTCTAGGTGTTTCTAATCATTCAGAAAGCATACCTATGATATCTCTTCTATTTTTATGGCATTGCACATGTCCTTGTGACTAAACGATGATAGGGGTTTGATCCCTGTCCCTGGTATGCTCTTGTGCTAAGTTGCAGAAGAATCTGGGTTTTGGTATTGGAAATGAATTTGTAGAATGCTTTTAAATTGCACCCAGGAGTATCAAAATTTTGGACTGCTCTTGTGATGACACCACTTTGTATTTCAATGGCATTTGGGCTGATATTAGGAATTTCTATATGTCTTTTACTTGCCCGTGGAACCTGAAGGATTGTGATTGTTGAAAAATTGGTTAGATAGAGGTGCCATTTATACATTTCACAGTACTTTTGGCAAGATCCTTATGAACTGATTTGATGTCTGGCATTCAGTATCTTTATTTGGTTGATCCTTCATTCTCCCTTATATACTCATATGTCACCTACTCAAATGAATGGGATCAAGAGTATGAGCACTAACTGATGTAGGCAGTAAGAGACAGAGAGGCAACATGGATAATCTGGGTTGTGCTACTAGGGATCTGAAGGGGAATAGTCACCAGGCTTTCTTGGTTTCTCTGGACTGTGGAGAAAGTGTGGACCTAGGCAATGAAAAAAATGCCTAACACGCTTACTGCACATGTTGAAGTTGCAAACACCAGCTGCAAACACCTTGAGGCAAAGTGTCCGGAGTGAGTGCTACTCTTGATTTGTCCTCACTATGATCCTTTCTATAGGGCTCTAAAGCACCAAAATCTTTCTTTTCTTTTTCCATGTTAGGTAAGAATGCCTACACTCAGTTTTTATTGAGATGGTAGAATTGTAGCTGTGATGTCAAATATAGGCAAGCTGCATTTTCATGGTGCTTGCTTACAGAGAGTGGAATCGGACACAGTTTGGATTTTCTAGGTGCAGAAGGAATAGCCAGTTTATGTGCTGCTTGTGTTATAGACAGCGGGCAGAGGGAGCAAAGGTTTGACAGCTTTGGCAGAGGTGTTAAAACTCTATTATTTTTTTGTCTCATCTACCAAATACACAACAGTACCCTCTTTGTGACCTAAGACCTCCTTTTCCGTGTAGGTGTAGAATTAGGAGTAAGAGTTAGTTTGGCTTAATTTGCAAGACCTGTGCAGCTGGCAGGCTGTGTGCTGGCTTGGCCGTGTCGGGCAGGAGCAGAGGAAATTGTTTTCTGGTTTGCTTGTACCTTTGGAGAGGGTTGGGGGCGAGCGAAGCAGCAGCTCTTTCCTCTTTCTAGGAAACCTGACCCGCACTTAGTTTTGAAATTCCCTGGGCCACCTCAACAATGCGTTTTTCTTCCTTAAAAGAAACCCCGCAAAACGAGCCGGGGCCGGTAGCGTTGCTTTGAGCACAAAGGTGTGTGAGCCAGCCAATGCATTACTGAGCACTGGAATATTCGTTTCAATAATTAATACGGAAAAAAAGGGAGAGCCAGGGGCGAGGCGAGGCGGGGGTGCGTGTGGGGGGGATGTGTGTGTGTGTGTAAGGAGCCGTGCCGCGGAGCAGGGGCGCAGTGCGGGGCGGCAGCCGCGAGGGGCCGACGGCGAGCCGGGCAAGGCGC